AACACTCTCTCCACCCAGTTTATTTATACCTAATTAATTCTCAGTTTCGAAATTCCAATTAGATGAAATTGCGAGGGGTTTAATCTATAATTGACAGAGTAGCGGCACGAGGCTGAAGTATAGTTAGTAAGTATCCAATAATCCTGGAGGTGGGTAATTGATTCAAGCACACACACACACACACACACACACACACACACACACACACACACACACACGTGTCCCTAATTGATTGAAATCATCTTTGCTACCCGTGGCAACTATGTAAATTAACTGTCACACAAAGCTTCCACACGGAAATTGACACCAAATAGTTTTGATCTTGCAATTACTGTCACCGACGTGCCAATGGCCCATAATAATTAACATTTTCTTTTCAAAACGTAATACATATACATGATACGAAGTAACGGCCACTCGTATGTATCCAATCAGGTTTGTATGTTCCAAGAAAGATAAGGGTCTAACAAAACAAAATAATAAATAACGATAAGGATAATAATGCAGATTTGGAACTTATTACCAACATTGTTCACTAATATCTATATAACATATAAAGTCTTATATGTTCTGCGATTGAAGTGAATCGAAAATTTATAATTTAACTATTGTATGAGATTTTTATAGTGTTGCAAGTAAGGATCAAATTGACCCAGTGTCACATATTTCAGGAAATAAGTCCAAAGAATAAATTCAGTTTAATTCTTACCATTCATTATTTGAAGTGGGCTAACCTGATCCATAAGTTTCACATATGAAGACAAAAGCGAAATTCGTTTTTATTAAGAAATAAGTTTTTGCAAAGGTCATTAATATTTAAGACACACGTGAAAATATGAAAAAATTGCAGTTCCAATAATAGTTTAATGACAAAACAATAAGAATTTGTATCTTCACTTTTGGCCACATAAACGCAATGTACGTACAGATGTTAAACAATTTAAGATATGATTAAACGACATTTAAAATATGTATATGTAAGTAGTATCGATTTAAAATTGAAGAGTACTGAGTATAAGATTATTGCTTATAAATTTGATGTTTCGAATTGAATCGAATTGAGTTTCTTGATTCTGTAATAGGATGAACAGAAATAACAAGATGTATAAAACAGCTACACATAACATCTTGGGTTATTACAATGATTCAATTCCCGCAAAAATGTTAAGTAACACTTTCGGTCTATGAATCTTCCAATTAAATATAATAGAACCTTACGAAGCTGGAACAATCGTGAAGATTGGATTAAGTCTGAATTACGACATTTTGTGAATTGGATCTTACTGTGAGTTGAATTTCAATTAAATACGTAAACGTGTATGTACACAAAATATTAGAACATAATGTAACAAAAAGAGAATAGATGTAGCGTATTTTGTCAGAAATAATTCTGAAATACAGGCAGATCGAAAACAATTTAAAAATTATTTGCAGGAATATAAGCAACGAAAGATTGATACAATTCGTTTAAGTAAATAACTCTTTGTTTGAAATCAATTATGACTAGAACGTTAATTGTTACATTTAAATTGCAGATCCTTATGCATTTCTAGTTTATACAAATTTTCTAAGAAAATTAAATGGCGAGCTCAATAAAGACACAGTGTTTGCCTGTTGTTATCCCCAAACAAGGTTATTGTAGGAACTAGAATTATATTTGATTAAACATTTTTGCGACTTACCTATAATGAATTAAAAATCGCATGAACATCAACAAATTAATAATATAGTCATATTTCATATTTGAATCAGGCTAATTGATGAAATTAAAATTTGTATACCCCTCTTGGTATAGTACGTATCCTACAGAATTTAGTACGCTAGTTAGAAATGTACAAACTGTTTTCAGTTTTGAAAAAAGTGACGAATTTTCAAATTTAAAAATTTTGTATGTTTTCACCATAAAATCTAAATGAATGACTTTAACGTAAAATGATTCTATAATCTCTCCCTAATACAACGTCTCTTAACGGAAATATTTTACTTGCAAAAGGTATAGTAGTTTCTTTGCAAAAAATTCCTTAGCAAAGTTAAAAAAAAACCACACACTTCACACTAAGGTTAAAATACAAAATATTCATAAAATTGAAAACTTTAAATGGATAAATTCTGGAAACGTCGAAGAACGAAGAATCAGATTAAACGTTCTTGGTGGCAATTTTATGTTGACTAAAAC